CCAGAAGCATCTTTAGAGAGACACAGCCTACAAAGAAGCTTCCTAAGGGAGACGCAGGATGCGCTAGGAATTTACTCTGGAAAGTATCCAGGTTCCTATCCGTTTCCTAAAGGGGGCATGATGGTCATATAGTTGCCCATAAAAAGCGTCCTAAGGGAGACGCAGGGCAACGACCAGAAGCGTCCTTCGGGAGATGCAGCTTGCAAAGTAGCATCCTAAGGGAGAAGCAGAGTGCACCAGGAATTTCTTAAAATGAGGTCTCCATACTTCCTGCGGGAAGTATCCAGGTTCCTATTCGTTTCCTAAGGGAGGCAGGATAGTCAAACAGTTGCCCATAAAAAGCATCCTAAGGGAGACATAGGGCGACGGCTAGAAGCGTCCTTCAGGAGACGCATCTCTGAAAGTAGTATCCTAAGGGAGTTGCAGGGTGCGCCAGGAATTTCCTAAGGGAGTTATCCAGGTTCCTATCCGTTTCCTAAGGGAGGTAGGATACTCATACAGTTGTTCATAAGCAGCGTCCTAAGGGAGACGTAGGTCAACGACCAGAAGCGTCCTTTAAGAGAAGTAGCCCGCAAAAAAGCATCCTAAGGGATACACAAGGTGAGCCAAGAATTTCCTAAGGGAGGTATCTAGTTCCTATCCGTTTCCTAAGGGAGGCATGATAGTCGTACAGTTGTCCATAAGCAGTGTCCTAATGGAGACGCAGGGCAATGACCAGAAGTGTCCTAAAGCGTTTTCCAAAAAATGCAAAATACGCTCGGAGTCCCTCAAGGGGGACCCTGGCTTTTGCCAAAATCCTAAGGGAAATGTTCATCCAAGACACTAGCCGGTTACTCAAGCAGTTCACAAGACAATATGCAAATTGAAGTTGAAAAAAATTATAACTAAAATTTCTATAGCAAAGTGACCAACCGGCCAAGTTCAAACAAAAAGAAGATAGTCAAATAAGACCAATTATTCTAAACAAAAAGTAGACTACAAAAGCTGAAAAGAAATAAAAGAGTCTTCATCTACTCCGAAACGCTAGCACGAGATCCCTAATCTACCGCCTTTTCAGCGTCCACCTGATCAGCCACGTTCTCAGCAACTTCACACGCCTCAGTAGCTCCACACGCCTGATCTATGACGTCTGCCACCACCCCATCAGCTGCGTCCTCCTCTGCTCCATCCTTTTCAGCTACCGCCTCTTCAGCCACCCGCTCTTCAGCTCATTCCATGTTCACAACATTAACCTACTTACTTTGCACACGGAGCAAGTTAGGACAGAACATCTCGATGTCTTCATCTCTAATGGCATAGAAGGGATCATTTCCATTTGTGCAGTCCAAGTAGCCCAACTTGTAAGCATCCATGGTAGCTTCGGACTTGGATTCTTTAGCAGACTTATGATAGGCGCGAAATCTAGCCAAAATTTTGTCATAGCTATAAGAGATGTCGGCACTCTTGCACTCAAGATGGAAGTAAGCATCTTTTGGACAAGTCAAGTCAACAGTAGAAGAGTTAAGCTCGAAATCCTTCTCAGCAAGAGAACTCATCAGCTCAGATATCATCGCCCTCAAATCAGACGTCTTCTTCTCATAACTGGTCTGCTCGGCAGAAAGCTTGCTAACTAGCTCGACATTCTTCTTCTCTAACTCACTGAGCTGAGTAGAAGAGGGCACAACAACAGACGAGTTCTAAATGGGCTCAACAACAAAAAGTACTCCTTTTTGAAGCAGATGAAATGTTGCTTCCCTTTGTTTTTCCAAGGAAAGACATGAAAAAGTATCAAGATCGCCAGCCTGATGGATATGATCAACCAACTTGAAGCAATGAGATAGGCTTGACTGGAAGTTCGTCTTTAGCAGATTAGACACTTCTACATCCCCTCCAGGACTGGACTTGTCCACCTTGGAATCAGCCGCTGATGTTGTAGAAGACCTTTCCCCAGGGCAGATGACTCTCTCGCCTTCGTAGCCGCCGCCATCCTCACCTCCAATGGAGCCAACAATGCTTAATCAATTCCACGCTTGACTGATCGTGACTTAACAACTCCATCGTGATGGTAAGCCTATAATTTATATATATTTTATGCCTCGTTTACTTATTTATTTGTTAATTTCCTTGGGTTAAATTGGTTGTTTTAATTGGTTTTGTGAGATTTGTGAAGGAACTGTGGAAATAGGAGAAAATGTGCTAAAAATGGCAAGAAGATGAAGCTTGGAGATTAATCAAGTCAAACAAGAAGAAATAAAGAAGACCATATTTTAGAAGGAATCCTACTTTTATAACAATTGTAATTATACCTTAGTTAGGATTTCTAGGAGTCTTATAAATAGGAAGTTTAGGTCATTGTTCAAAGGACCATCACCCATCACCCATCATCCTCCATATTCTTACTCATAGCCTAAATATCCAAAGGAGAATACGAAGAAAGCTTGCGCAACCTTGGCATTCTACTTGGAGAATTTGGTGCCTTCCATGTCTTCACCAACCATCATGATTCTCAATAAGTCCTTCATGAACTAATTTCTTTTATTAGGGCTACGATGTAGCCTAGCTATGAATACTCAAATTCTCTGATATTGTTAATTTTATTTATCTATACATGTTGAGTGCTTGTTACCGTTCTTAATGCTTTCAATTAATTGGCCACTAATTGCATGATTGGAAGAATTAGGTTGAGACCGGAAGGAGATTCCTAGTAAATAGCTTCTTGTAACAAGTACCATAAATTACATAGCCGACTCGGAAGACTAGGTTATGGTTTGTGTAATCTTTATTGTTTTCCACAAATCTTAATGGGTTCTTAGCTATCTAAATCCATAACTAGGAATAGAGTGGGTTGACTGTAAGGAATACAACTGATATAACTCGGAAGAGAGTATTAGTGAGGTAAGGGAAAACGATTATCAGCATGTTAGGCAATTAGAATTAACAAGCTAGAAGGATTTGGGTGGGATTAGCTTGGTGAAATCGGTGCCCTAGTGCTTTATCATCTTTATTTTCATACTTTACATTATTTCCTTAATCTCAATTTATTTTCTCTGCTTAATTAGATTTTAATCATCATAATTCTCTTTTTGTTTAATTAAAATATAATTAGAAATAAATCACTCTAGTATTTAATAGATTATTTGATCCCTGTTGGAACGATACTTTACTTACTACTATATTAATTTGAGCGATATTGTCCACTTGCAATTAATCACATCAAATTTTGGAGTCGCTGCCGGGGATTGACTTAATCTGTTAATATTAGTGCGTTTTATTTTTCTAGTTCTACTTTGAATATTTAAGTAGTTAAATTTTTATTTCCATTATTTTTCTTTAGTTCACTTTGATTCCTATTTCACTTTATTGGATTGTTGTTTCTTGTTTTTTGTTTTTTATTATTTTAGGGCTGTTGCAACAAAAAAAAAAAAATCGAAAAGAGAGAGAACAGCACAAAGCAAGGCCAAAGGATTAGAAACGGAGCTTCATAAAGGAAACAAGCAGCTCTCTAGTTCCTTTTTCCATTCAAATTTCTTTTCCTTCTACAATTAAAGTTTCTTTCTAATTTCCTTTGGGTTTTATAATTAAAGTTTCTTTTCCTAATTTGTTTGGGTTTATTTCCTTCTTTAATTCTATTGTTCTCTCCTTATTTAAACTGTAATAACCCAAACCCAAAATTAATATTTAATTATTAATTTATTTGAGAAAAAGACAAAAATACCCCTAGAATATTTTATTAGTTTAAAAGTTGACTTTTTGACCGGGAAGGAATTTGGGGATTTTAGTTGTACCGTTACGTAGAGCGCGACGAAACGAGTTCGTAGACATGTAGTGGACTCAAATCGGAATTGTAACGAAGGAGTTACGATCAAAAGAAGTTCAGTGGCATAACCGTAAATATTTCGAAGTTCAGATTTTATAAACCCAGATTTTTCTGGTTTTCGGGGAGAGGACGAGCCGACTTTGGGAGCTGTTTTCTCTCAGCTCCGACCCCCGATTCAGGCAAGACCAGTGCCAGACGAACCACCAATCATCCCTCTTCTAACTTCAGCCCTTCGCCGCCTCTATCTGCCGCCATAGTGGCCGGAAAGAGCCGCGAAATAGGCGGTGTTCGACAGTTCTTTCGTAAACTTTCGCCGGCTCGTTCTCCGTCATCCGGCCACCATTTCTGGTGATCCAGGTATGGAAACTCATCTATTTCTCGAGCCCTAGCTGCTGGTTGGGTAGGATTTCAGAAATTGCTAGCGTAGATAACTCGATCTTGGATCCAAAGTTTAGCCGAATTTCGGGTTGAGATTCCGGCCACTTCCGGCCAGTTTTTGGGGTAGGTCCAAGAACAAAAGTGGCTCCAAATAGGATGTTTTACCTAGGATAGGAGTCTTGAGCCGAGATGTTGATATTTTCCGGCGAAGCGTTATCGCTTTAGGCACCACGCGCTACCAGCGCTTGTGGCGGCGCGTGGGCAACAGGGTGGGGACCACAGCCAGTCCTAGAATGATCTCCTAGTCCTCAAGAGCGCGTGGGATTTCACGGAACTTAATTCGGATATCGTTTGAACCCCGAACGGATCTCTCCTACTGTGCGATTTCCGGGTTCAATACGTTTGAACTGTTGGATTGTAGTTATTTCCAAGTATGTTAATCTAGACTTTCCCAGGATCGTATGGTATTTGACAGATCGTAAAACGGAGTCCCGGATACTCCAGAAAGATCAGCCCTAGAGTGAGGTTTACAGTAAAACAAACCAGTTACAGGTCCGGAACAGAGAAAGAACTACGTGTGGCTTGATCCCTCAGAAAGGGTACGTAGGCAGCCTACAGTTATCAAGTGCAGCCACGAATCAGAGTCCCTCAGTTGTGTTACTGTTTTCAGGGCATTTTGGTCATTTATGAACCACAGTCACCAGGTGTCAGTTTTAAACAGGTTTCGACCCGGATTCCAAAGTGGAAATTGGATCAGGTCGTTTCATAAACAATCCTTTGTCCTTGTTTTGCAGGTATAACAACTTCGTTTATGAGCATACGGTGAATGACTGGTACCTGCTCTTCAACTAGCCAACTAGTTGAATTAGAACCTGAGATTGAACAAAAGCTTCGAGCAATTCGTAAGAGTCAAAAACAAGATAGAGAAAAGAAGAATCAACAAGAAGAAGAAGAGATGGCCCTTGTACAAAATGAAACAATGGGAGACCTTGATATCCCGACAATTCCGACGTCACCTTTAAGCATCGTTCTCCCTGCAGCTGCTAGGAATTTTGAATTAAAAAATATCCACTTTAATATGATGCCTTCTTTTCATGGATTAAGTTATGAAAATCCTTTAACTCATATTAGAGATATTTTTAACATGGTTTCTAACATGGCTTTGACAGAGGGAGTCACCGAAGAACATCTCAGGATGAAAGTCTTTTCCTACACACTGAAAGATAAAGCTAAGATGTGGCTAAACTCCTTAAGGCCTGGATTATTGACTAGCTGGACAGAGGTTCAAAACAAGTTCTTGGAGAAATTCTCTTCAACTCAGAAAACTGATGCACTAAGGGATAAAATCATGCAATTCAGTCAACAGACCGATGAGTCATTTTCAGAAGCTTGGGAAAGGTTCAATAATTTTTTAATACAGTGCCCTCACCATGGTTTGCTTACTCTAGTTCTCATGCGTATTTTTTATAAGGCACTAATCGTTTCGAGTAAGGCTGCAGTGAATAACTATGCAGGTGGATCTGTTAAGAACAAGACACCAACTGAATGTCAAACTTTGTTTGATACACTAGCAATTGAAACACAGCATTCTGATACAAGAGGTAAGCGTGCTGGAATTTATGAAATTGGTAGTTCTAATGCTTTTGCTTCTAAAGAGCAGGTTGCCACTATAACCAGTAAATTGGACGCCTTGCTTGCTATGAATGGGAGAGCACCAACACAAGAGATTTGCTCCATTTGTGCTGTTCTCGGTCATGCCACCATATCTTGTCCTCATGGGGTTGATTTTCCAGAATTTCTGCAAGAACAAGCCAATATGGTGAATACCTATAGACGTCCTAGCAATGATCCATTCTCCAACACATACAATCCGGGATGGCAAAGGCACCCCAATTTTTCATGGAGCAATACTCAGAATGTCCAAAAACCACCACTTGGTTTTCCACCTCAAGAGAAAAAAATAAATTTGGGAGATGCTCTTACTCAGTTAACTATGTCTACCACCCAATTTATGACTGAAACCAAAACCCAACTTCAGAATCAGAGCGCTTCTATTCGGAACTTGGAGGTGCAAGTAGGCCAACTAGCTACTGTATTGAGTGAAAGAAGCCAAGGAGTATTGCCAAGCCAAACCGAGGTTAATCCAAAAAATCAAGAGCATGCGAAGGCAATTACACTTCGAAATGGGAGACCCATCAAAACTGCTGTAGATTTGGACTTAGGAAAGCACCACAAACAGTTGAGAGATACGGAAAAAGCTGAAGAAAATAGCCTACCAGCCGCCTTAAGCTCAACCGAAAATTCAGCAACACATGCAATGAATTTTTCTTCTTAGACCAACGAGTAAGCATCCACAAATCTCACCCCAAAATCCTATGTTCCACCAATTCCTTTTCCACAACGCTTGAAGAAAAATAAGAAGGATGCACAATACTCCAAATTTCTTGGAATTTTTAGGAAATTGCAAATTACCATTCCATTTGGTGAAGCACTGGACCAAATGTCGAGCTATGGAAAGTTCCTTAAGGACATCTTAAGCAAAAAGAGACGTTTGGACGATACAGAGACGGTGAAATTGACAGAGGAGTGCAGTGCAGCAATACAAAGGCAATTACCACCTAAGCGAAAGGATCCAAGGAGTTTTTCTATTCCGTGCACCATTGGCACTATTTCTTTTCAAAGAGCATTGTGTGATCTAGGTTCTAGTATTAATTTAATGCCTTTGTCTGTAGCTAAAAGAATTGGTTTGGGGGAAATTAAGAAAACTAATATTTCTTTGCAGATGGCGGACAGATCACTTACATATCCTCACGGCATCCTTGAAGATGTACTAGTGAAGGTGGATAAATTCATATTCCCTGCTAATTTCATAGTTTTGGATATGGAAGAAGATGTCGACACTCCAATTATTTTAGGCCGCCCATTTCTCATTACGGGAAGAATGATAATTGACGTAGAAAAAGGTTCTTTGATCCTATGAGATGCCGATCAAGAGGTGGAATTCAAAGTTTTTGATGCAACCAAGTATCCCATTGATTCAGAGTATTGTTTCCATTTAGAAGCAGTAGATCATGTTGTTCAACCACAATTCATGGCGGACCACCCAAATGATCCACTAAAAGCAAATTTGATTCATGAGATAGAGGTAGTAGAAGAGCCACACGTGCTCGAAATGGTGAACTCATTGAAAACCAAGGCCGTCCCAAGCACCATTGCTGCACCAACCTTCACTTTGCAAAGATACTTAGAAGAAAATTGCAATCAACAAAAGGAGACCTTCGCTCTCCATGATCCTGGGTGATAATCATCCCAAAAGTCGGGCTAGGGACTATAAACCAAGCACTTGTTGGGAGGCAACCCAACTAGGTACCTTCGTTCCTTTCTTTTCATTTTTTTTAAATTTTTTTTAAAATTATTTCTCTATGCCTTTACTAATCGTTACATGCATTTACTTTAAACATTGAGGACAATGCTTAGTTTAGGTTTGGGGGTGTGGAATTTTGTTGTTTATGTTGTTATTTGAGTTTGAAGTCATAAAAAAAAAAATTTAAAATTTATAAATAAATAAATAAATAAAAAAAACAGATTTTATGTTCCAAAGAAAGGATTTTGTGTTTCAAAGAACATTTCTTGAATTTTTCTAGCCCCAAGATGATTGCAAACATGTTGCAGATGTGTTATAGATGTTGTTTTGGTCATTATATGACTTTAAAACCCAGAAAATAGTAAAAGAGGTTATTATGTTCTTATTTTGGTCAAAATCAAAAATTTTGCCTATTTTCTTTTTTGATGTTTTTCAGGTAAATTTGAAGCCATCAACATGTTTAGAATGGTTATTATGATGATTTGAAACAGGTTTGGGAGTCTCAAGTGGTTTACATGACGTTTTAGGAAGTTTGGAAGCTAAAAAAGTGGCCTAAAACCCAAAAAAAGGCTAGCTGCAATTTGCCCAGAAATATGAAGCTTTTTCGTCACAAAAGGGTTTTCAGCGGCGGTGTTCATCAGATTTTTCGTTGCTAAAGGATTTTCAGCGACGGTGTTCATCAGATTTTTCGTCACTAAAGGTCAATTTTTCAGAATTTTCTAATTTCATTCCAAATCAATTACGATCCATTCCATTCGTGATCAGAGGTTTCTAGGAGATATTCCAGGTGTGTCCTCTTCCTTTTGATGAAATTTCTTTATTCCTAAGAAATTAGAACTCATAAATTCATGCATATTTGTTTGCAAATCACAAAATTCCTTTAACTTTTGAAAAAAAATAAAACTTTGTTAAAGCCTGTACTTTCTCTTACTAATAGTGATGTATATGTAATGTTTGATAATATTTCTTTAACTAAAGTGTTGCTATGAACGTTTATGCATCATAATTATAGCACTTCACATAGCCATACTTCAAGTATTTTGATGGACAGGGTAGCTATAGTTGGATGATTGTGGAGAAATAGGGGAGACTACCATTGTGAGATACTTGAGCCAAATTGCCATTTATTGAGAGAGTATTGGGAATTATTCTTATACACTATTTTCTTTCTTTCTTATTTAGATTGATCTCAATTAGGCTTTTGAATTGAATACTAAGAACTAATTTCTCATTTGTATGAATAATCTTATGCTTTCACTTTTGAGTGGATGGACCTTGAGAGATGATGTTAGGCTATGCATGTTCTAACCACTAAATAAAGCCTCATGTCCTACCCATTGTGTGTGCCATCAACCCTTTGAAGCCAAACACTTAGCCTTTTATTTCATCACCCACAATATTTCCTTACCCTTTTCACCCTATTTTTAGCCATACCCTATAACTTGGGATATGCCATGACACATGAAGACAAGGATGAAGGTTAAGCTCTACATCAACAAAAGAGGTGGAGTGTACCGAGGAAATATGTGCTCAAAGTTCAAGAAAAAGAAAAGAAAAAGAAAAAAAGAAGATATATATTAAAAAAAAAAAAAAAAAGAGAAAAAGAACAAGAAAAAAAGTGAAGCATATCAAAAATCCTGGACGCCTTTGTGAAATAAATTTGAAGAGCCAAGCCTTATGACACGATAAATGCCTTGGTATGTCTCAAGTTCTAGTATCTCCTATCCTTCTTTCATAACCCATAACCTAGCCCCTCATTACAACCATAGTAAAGACCTAACGGATCTTTGGGGACTTCTTACTCGGAAGTGGAGGTATGTACTTCATCTGTGGTTCTTAGTATTTGATTTCCTGTCCATGAGATCTATTTTCAGAAATTGCCTTTTATTCATTTTGGATGCATATGTGTCTTACATTTTGATTTCTTTACCTAACTCCATTCACATATGCTGGCTAAGAGTGCAACCCTAGGTTCTGTGAGAAAATTGAGAGTTATCCAGTGAGGCCTAGAGTCGAGGCGAATTTGTACACATGCCAAGTGTGGTTATCTTTAAGTTCGAGTACTTGGAGTATTGGCTTTACACTTACACTATGGTGCATTTTATTTGTAGTGGCATAACTTTAGTTTTTGAATTGTGATTGACATTCATTGGTTATTATTAGTTTGTTGGAAGTATTGCTTTAACGAATTTGTTTTGCAAGGAGCGTTTGTGGGTGTCATGACTGGTAAACTCTCAGGAGACACAACTCCTCTTGCTAGGGACACCTAGAGGTTTAAAGGCTTGTGGCACATGCTAAGTGCCATCGAGATTACCTGCGAAAGTGGTTTAGTTTAGTTTGTTTGTTTTATTTTATTTTTTTGATTTTCAGTTTTGAGAGGACTAGCAAAAGATAGGTTTGGGGGTATTTGATAAGCCTATAATTTATATATATTTTATGCCTCGTTTACTTATTTATTTGTTAATTTTCTTGGGTTAAATTGGTTGTTTTAATTGGTTTTGTGAGATTTGTGAAGGAACTGTGGAAATAGGAGAAAGTGTGCTAAAAATGGCAAGAAGATGAAGATTGGAGATTAATCAAGTCAAACAAGAAGAAATAAAGAAGACCCTATTTTAGAAGGAATCCTACTTTTATAACAATTGTAATTATACCTTAGTTAGGATTTCTAGGAGTCTTATAAATAGGAAGTTTAGGTCATTGTTCAAAGGACCATCACTAGGGCTACGATGTAGCCTAGCTATGAATACTCAAATTCTTTGATATTGTTAATTTTATTTATCTATACATGTTGAGTGCTTGTTACCGTTCTTAATGCTTTCAATTAATTGGCCACTAATTGCATGATTGGAAGAATTAGGTTGAGACCGGAAGGAGATTCCTAGTAAATAGCTTCTTGTAACAAGTACCATAAATTACATAGCCGACTCGGAAGACTAGGTTATGGTTTGTGTAATCTTTATTGTTTTCCACAAATCTTAATGGGTTCTTAGCTATCTAAATCCATAACTAGGAATAGAGTGGGTTGACTGTAAGGAATACAACTGATATAACTCGGAAGAGAGTATTAGTGAGGTAAGGGAAAACGATTATCAGCATGTTAGGCAATTAGAACTAATAAGCTAGAAGGATTTGGGTGGGATTAGCTTGGTGAAATCGGTGCCCTAGTGCTTTATCATCTTTATTTTCATACTTTACATTATTTCCTTAATCTCAATTTATTTTCTCTGCTTAATTAGATTTTAATCATCATAATTCTCTTTTCGTTTAATTCAAATATAATTAGAAATAAATCACTCTTGTATTTAATAGATTATTTGATCCCTGTTGGAACGATACTCTACTTACTACTATATTAATTTGAGCGATATTGTCTACTTGCAATTAATCACATCAATGGTTGGGCGGATGAGCAGTCCTCCCAGTTTGATCTATCCATACTTGTGCAGACGACTCGAACCTCGGAGAGCAATATCATCATCTCTTTTCCTCTTAGCAGGTGAACAAGTTCGTGAGTGGACTACTTCGCGGAGCATATCACAGTCTCCAAGCTTGTCTACAGGAGGCTTGAATGGAACATCCCGAATGTTGCGCATACCTCCAATCTTCTTGTTATCTGCACCAACGAGATGTTTAACCCTAGTTGATGACAGGGGAATAGCTTCTACTTAAGTCTTCTTAGCATAAGAGATCCTTGGCTTCTTCCTCAACGGGGACACATCCTTTGCCGACAAAGTTGCAACTTCATTTCTTGAAGACTTGACATCAGTCTTCCTATTTATGGGGGGTTGGCAAAACAATCCTCCTGCCCAGCCGGCAGATCATCAGAGTATGGACCATTTTGCTTCCATCTCTCAACATCCTGGGTAGGGGGCAGACCACCAACTTCCTCACGATACTCGCTCAGCAGCCACCAGCGACCACCGCTGCTCCAACCATCTCTGACTGGCAGTCACGACGACAGCCAGCCTGGT